AGAATTTCTATTATCGATTAATTTTCGTGATCTAGATTTTAAAACTTTACTTTTTATAGAAAACTATATAAAAAATACCATTTATAGAATAGTAGTCTTTTTCTAAATTTGATTGTTATTATTTGGCTTTTCTCATAATAGATAGATATAAATAGTTAGTCAATTCTATTATAACGTGACTCATATAAGAAGAGATAATACCATTTACGTAGGTAATACTTATTTATGTCTATCTACTGTTTTTAAAAAAATGAGTAATATCCAAATTGGCATAATCAACATTAGGCTACCTGCAATTGAATCTTTGGTTAACATCACTTTTTAGTACTCAGAAGAGGGGGGAGAGATCAAAATGAACAAATAAAATAAACAATCTAATTTAAGCAGAAATTCTATTATAACAAATTAGTTTTTAGTTCAATAGCTATTGAAGTTTAGTCTAAAGAATTTAATTAAACTATTTGAAGTTAATTAGTTAGCTTACATAAATATTTTAGACTTGAATAAGTACGAAATTTTTAAATAAATATATTTCTATTATACAAAACACATAAGATAATTTGTCAACAAAAATTATGCGATTAGAAAGAATATCTATTATTTTGCAACTTTATAGTAAAATATGTCATACTGGTATTTAACAAGAAGCATTTGAATACTTACAATAGTTATTTATAACTAAAGTTTTAATTTTAATAGATAAAATTATTTTGACAATTTAGACTAGATATATAATTAATCACTATATAGGTTTTATTTATGAATACTAGTATTATAATATTATAATTTACTAATAATTTATTTTGCCAATTGCCAATTTTTTATTACCTGTTTGTATAATAAAGTATAAAAGCTTAGACATATTAATACTTAAGTATTGTTATAAAAGTCTTAAGAATGTTAAATAATAGATTGATATTTAACTACATATTTTTGTATACAAAAAATTTAAGCATAAAATTTTGAATAAAAAATAAATTGCCAAATTTAAAATAAATTTGTATTTTATAAATGAATCACTAATTTATATTTTAAATAGATAAATTTTCTATTTTAAAATAGATCAAAATTTCTATTTTAAATATATCAAAATTTTTATTTTAAAATAGATCAAAATTTCTATTTTAAATAGATCAAAATTTCTATTTTAAAATAGATTGAAATTTTTATTTCAAAATAGATCGAAATTTCTATTTTAAAATAGATCGAAACAGTGTTAAAGTTTAAATAATAATTTTTTACAAACTTATATTCAAAAATAACATACAAATTTTTAAAAAAAAATATTCGAAATTTAGAAATTTATATTTAAAATATATCGAAATTTGTATTTTAAAATATATTATTAGTCATTTTTTTTTGTTTTTTGAATACTTTGGGGGTTTAGGTTTTCCAAGTTTTTTCTTCATTATAACATGATTCACAAAGTGGATAGATTGTTTTCCAATTATCTGGTATGTCAGATAGAATTTTAAGCAATTCATCTTCTACACCACACCAATAATATAAATCTATATCTTTAAGTCTACAAGAATAATAATTATATTCAATTGGTGAGTTACATATTAAATTAAGTTGTATGTGAAGAGTATTAGCAAGAAAATGATCATCTGAAACAATTGGAAATCCACAACTATATATAATATTTTCTAAATGTTGAGTAATAGCTTGTATTTCAATTTTATTTAATATAGTTTTAGAATATATGCAATGATACTTTTTACAGAAATCACAAGCTACTAAAAGTCGAATAAAATTATTTATAAAAATGCTGATAGAACTTTCTTCAGATTTAAACTTTGCATTTGAAGATTTAAATTGTTCACTTGTTTCATGTTGATAAATTTCATCAAATTCTTTGTAATGTTAATTATCTAATTAAAATAATATAATTTAGTTAACAATATATAAATTTAATTAATTATAATATAGTTGTTCTTTTTTATAATTATACTATTTGTTTTATACAAAAAAGATATGATTATAAAATTTTAAGAGTAATGTAATTATATAAA